TGAGTTTGTAGGTTTAAATGCCACTCCAATTCCTGCTTCATTAAGAATCCTACGTGGGGAGGGTCTCAGATGTCCCCTCCATAAAAGATTATGTCATAATTTTACAGTAATATATGTCAAGTAACACATGTATCAAGGAAGAAAAATCTTAGAATGACTGTAAGCTCAATATCGCTTGAAATTAAGTCACGCGTAGATAAAGGCTATCCCGGTCCAGAACAAACAATAAGACGGTCTCGAAAGAGCAACAAAGCACCAACAAGGTCGGCAATCGTATCAGGTCCTTGATATAGCTTATCGTTCAAAGAATAACCTCTAAAGGTTGCGGCGCAATCTATAACTATTCTCAGTTTATCTGGCTTTTTCGGATTCATTACGGGATGATGCGGAAGAAACCACCTCAGGCGATAGTTGGCTGCTAGCTGCTCTGGGGGTACCAAAAGGGCATAACCATTTTTAACATCGTATTTATCCCATCCACATATCGTGCTAAAAGATTCTTGTCACGCGATAACCTCTGTTTCACACTAAGTAACGGATTTATGGCGACTACATAATTATTGTCCGTTACCTTTGCTGGATCTGTCCATGGCAAGGGAATGATGTATTGCGCCTTTTCTAAGACGGTGTAACCAACTCGATTGCCTTACGATCTTCGATAGAAAATGAGTCTTCGTTTTCTTCAGTATCCTTAAGCTCAGCTTCATATAGCCTTCTGATGTCGTCTTTGATACTCTCTTCGCTGATTCGAGCGTAGTTGACAGTGCCCCTTTTCGTATTTCCATGAATGTTCCGTTCGTCGTCCGCGGCTAACTCCACATGCAGCTCGGCCATTTCGACATCATGTCTAGCCTTGAGCAACTTTATTTCTAACTCTAACTCTAACTCCTGTCGAAGCTGTTTCTCTTTTAGCTGCACCCTTAGTAGCGAAGACTCAGCACTAGTTACTCGCAATAATGATGATTTCGAACTACTGACATGAGAACCGGGGCACGAAAGATTATCAACATGATCAATTATACAAACGAGGACTTGCCGACTCTCCAACTGCTGCTCCGAAATTTGCCTCCCTCATATGGTGTGCATTGTTCCAAAGAAAATGTATTTTCAACAACGTTGCGTGCTGCCAATTCACCACAGTTTCTTCTGGATGAACGTTCAGTACTGACCAGTTCAGTACGGCCTTTTCTGTTTGACGTTAAGTACTGACCAGTTCAGTACGGTCTTTTCTTCAATGACATTGCCTCTTTCGTTAAGTACTGTAAGCGCAATATCGCTTGAAATTAAGTCACGCGTAGATAAAGGCTATCCCGGTCCAGAACAAACAAGACGCCGGTCACGGTTTCTACGGTACTATTAATAAACAAATCAATAATTATATATACAACAAACCTTAACGGTTTCAAGAGTACAAAGCACAACGCTTAACAGAAAGCAAGATACCGCTATCAGAGTGGAATAACGTTAAAGCCAAAATCGCGAACTAGCCGGAATCAGACACGACCGTTCAAGTAAGCAGTCAGTAGAAGAATGAACCCAAGTAAGTCATGGCATAAAACAGAGAGCGATAAAGAGATAGACCGAGCATGGGCACAAAGATAGAATCTAATTGGCTACTTAACCAGGTAGGTAGATACAGATGAAGATCAATAAATAAGATAAACTTGACAAAATAGTACAAAATAAGACATCGGTCAGCAAAAATAACAGTTAACAAAATACTCTGATTGGGTCATGAGTTCAACTGTCTGACTAAACGGATCGAGATAAAAACACACAGTTCATTAAACAAGGGGGATAGACACGTTAGGCATGGATAATGGGTTGCAACAACGCTAGGCTGATCCGGGACAGGTTGACTTGATTCAAGAATGGGAATTGAATTGATCTTACACTGACAATATCACATATTTACAAAACTTTTGACACAGCAGTAGTGCGAGGAAAAAAATTAACAACAAATTATTTCTGAGTGGAGAAATTCTAATTTCCCTGACAGTAAATCTACGTATTCAATTTCTTATATCAACTTGTATCTTGCTTGATATATGCTGAAATGAGGCATTAGGAGAAAAAGCCTTTCATTGACTTTGCCTTTATTATATGTGGATTATTTTTTTCCAGTTAGTCTTTTATGCAACTTAGTATTGCCTCTATGAACAAACTAATGGGTGGTGGTACTATTAGTGAGTGAAAAGCAGAAACTAAGCTGACTTAGAATAGAGAATGAATACACACGCTTCACTAATCAAGCTTATCCATTCTATGAATTAGCTTTCTGTATGTAGGCTGGTTGACAAACAGGATACAGTTCATCAGGTATGTGAGTTCTTCTGGGTGGTACTTTATAAAATTAACCACTAAAAAACTTTCTAAAAAACAAACGAGTGCTTAACATGTGAAGAAGATGATGAGAAACAAGTATGCAGTTTTCAAGTTTGGTTAGCGCTGTGTTTCATATCATTAGGAAGATTGAATTTAAAAAGATGTGATATGTTAAGTCGTTTTATTTATCTATCTCCACATGGGATTGTCTCATCTTGGAAAGAATCAACCACGCCAACCTGAATGAGAAACTTCAACCGGGAAACAGGCTGGTTCAGTAGGAACGTATCATGCATCGATCAAATTGCAACACTACCGGACCATCATTGAACAGAGCTTGAAATAGCAGTCAGTTCTCTATCTCATCGACTTTCAAAAAGCCTTCAACACTACAGCGTCGATCGAGAGATGATTTGGAAACTACTTCGTTACTAAGGGGTGCCGCCAACAACTGTATACCTCATCCAACGGTTGTACGACAATGCTGCATGCCGACTAATCCAAAACGGGAAACTCATGGAATCCTTCGAAGTGAAGATGGGAGTAAGACAAGGCTACCTACTATCTCCATTGATTTTCCTGATTGTAGTAGACTGGACAATGAGACAGACAGCCAGCAGCGAGGAAACAAGCATAAAATGGATCCACACAAAACACTTAGAAGTTATGCAAGTGAAAAGAAGCAAGTTGTTGATAGAAGAAGCATTCAGAGAAGATAGGACTTCACTTAAGGTAAACAGAGGTGATGAAGATTCCTCGCCAGCAGCAACACAAACATTAACATCAACAACAGACTACAATCAGCATAAATGGAAGGAATCTAAAAGATGCAACCTCCTTTACTTACCTACCTGGGAAGCAACATTTCAACTACAGGTGGATGGAACCCATGGAGATATCAAAGCAAGGATCGGGAATGCGAGGGAAGCTTTCATTACTCTCAAGTCTGTATGCAGATCAACAGAACTCACCATGAAAAGTAAGATCCAGATTTTCAACTCCGATGTGAGTTCAGTGCTACTTACTATATGGATGGTTCAGAGACTTGGCGACAAGTCACAAAGGCCACCTCGAACAGAACAAACTACACACCTTCATCGACAGCTCAACACCTTCGCTCAATACTTCCCTCAAGATCAGATGGTCGGCTAGAAAAGATCAGGAACACGGAGTGATCTCTGGCAATGAACGAGCCAACCCAGCAGGAACCAATCGTCAAACAAAATATGCAGGAGGAAATCGAGGTGTATTAACTATACTCTGAGGAGACAAACCATCAACTGAGTGACATCCATCTCACACCAGACCATTGGTCGAGTGGAACCCTATCGATTGGGAAGCGGCGAGTTGGTTGTCAGTTCGACGGTGGGGTGACATAGAGTGCAGGAGGTGATGAGAAGAGGAGATGACAGCATGTGGACAGACGTGAATCCAGTTGATGAAAACGTTGGCAGAGAACCTGAACGCAATAGAGACGTTCGGCTGAAGCCCGATGTTCCTCTAGGAACTAAAGGAGACAATAGTAATACATATGATTGTCTAGCCTTTAGCGCACAGTGTTACAGTTTGGAGACAATGTGTTCTGTTTTACAAAACTTTGCCTTTGAATTGAGGACAGAACAAGACGACAAGGCTGCCGCCCACCATCACAGATGCCGCTTTTAATTTTGGTGAAGTGGATCATGTGGAACACCATGTGTGGGGTGATAAGACAGGAGTACGTTGAACTGATAAGGATTTACTGCATAATTTTTGTCTGATGTCACACAAACTTAAGCACTTACAGGCGGAAACCAACAAATTGATAGAAGAGGCTGACAGCAAAGTAAGGACATCAAGTGAACATAGAGAAAACCGAAGGGATGAAGAATAACCAACAAACAAACAATAGTTACTATCAACGGGAGAAATTTCGAGGAAACCACTTCCTTCAATTATCTACGCGACACCTAGTCAGGAAGGATGACGATGTCGGGACGAGAATCGAAAGGACAAGATGCACCCTCACACAACTTTGAAATCAGTTTCGAAATCTACTCCACTCACCACAAACAGCTAAATTCGAATTTTCAATACCACTATTAGGTGAGTCAATTCTTCTATGTTGTGTTTAAAAACTTGGCCAGAGCGTCACAGAAATCATTTTCAACAGACTAATCCAAACTTTTATCAACAGCTGACTTCTCTGGTCCATACTGGTGATCAGATAACTGGTCAGAAATAATTTTCAACAAGAAACTCTGCGAAGGAACCAATCAAGGACCTGTTGCCCAAAAAATATGTAGAAGAAAATGAAGACAGATTGAACACACTCTGAGGAACCCATTGGATGACATCACGCTCAATGCAGGCCATCGTTCGAGGGAAAAGCTAATGTGAAACTATGAGTTGCGGGTGTGTGTATGTCCAAGGTTTACATAAAGGGGATCGTAAGAAGGAGGAGCAGATGACAGACTATGGTCAATCGTGAGCCCAGCTGAAGAGGGCTACAGAGAACAGGATGAAATAAAGGTGTTCTATCGAAGTCCTACATTCCACCGTGTCGACTGACCTCATTATGCGTATTTTGCGAATTGTGTAGCCTTCTGATGATTACTACTTTACAATTTGATTAATGTATAAATACAATGGACTAAAAAAGCTTGTCCTTTTGATCTGTATGTTTAAAATTTCAGGCTAATGGTTCAGATATGACACTATATGGGGATGGACAGGAAATTGATCGGATGGAAATAGCTGAATTGGTGGTTCAACGTATGCAATCACTAGTACATTCTACTTCGCTGTAAGTCTAACAATAAAACACTAGAAAATTTTCAGTATATTGACATTTTAACTATATTGTTTGAATTTAATTTGTGGATGGCGACTAACAGTGGAATCCAGGATAACGCGCATTTCGTCCTATTTGGGACTCGTCAGCTTGCTGGTGATATCTGCAGGTACATCCAAATGACGAATCCCAAGTAGGACGAAATGTGCATCCTGGATTCCACTGCTAGTTGCCATCCACATATTAAACTCTAATTAAATAACCAGACGTTGTCGAAGCATCTGCACGAGAAACCGACACGTCAACCTGAGGCCTAGCGCTGCGGTCCAATCAATCGACGGGAAAATCTAAAATTCAACTAAACTATATGTTGTTTGACTTTAAGATTAAACATCTTTTGACTACCACTCAAGGAAAAGTAGACCAAATGTTCCTAAAAGGATAAGTACTGATATTCAGTACATCATTTATGATTTGGGTTTGTAGCTTCCATACTGAAGATGATGTTGTCAGGAATTTACTAAACTTTCAACAATTAGTTATTAAGAGTGTTCATTTGTTCCAAGTCTCATCACGAGCTATCATCAGCTGAAGAACCAACAGGGAATACTGGACAACTGTAACGTCCTACTTTAAGGATCTTCCTCAGTATGCACCCAACTGGACTCTAACTCAGGAATTTCCAGTTGCAAGGTAAACTCACAGACCATCTGACAATAATGGAATCCAGTTCAATAGCCCGCTAATTCTAACTTCCACCAACTCGCGATATTGAGGCGACCATCAGCCACTGTCTTCGACAAGTATTTGTCTTCACTTTCGACCTGATGGACTCCACTGGTCACGACTTCAATCAATTCCGTCCTCTATGGAATCACTAGAGAACATTAGATTCATTTTCACGATTTAGTTTTCAGGGTTCGAATCAAAATGCGTGAGTAGTATATCGATGCCTCCTAGACTCGGACGAAACAGATGTCGAGTACTTGCTTGTTTTTAGTGATTACCAGACTGCAGAGAAACTCATCATCATCATCACCATTTTGAAATGACTGAGATTCATAGTCTACGAGGGTTCTTTTGATATTGTTTTGTTTGGTCTCTGATCTGGAAGACTAAACTGTAAAGCTTTCAATGTTATAACGACAAACATCTTTATAACTTCATGCTGAAGTCAGTACTAAAGATGTTTGCAGGAGGGACAGTGAAAGATTCTCAACTAAACTGTACAGCTGGGAGAACACAACAACACCAGGAAGTTATCAAAATATTAACCATTTAAGATGTTAATAATAAGATAATAATTTCTCTAAAGATGAGTCTTTTAGAAGGCTTCTTTGAAGATATTATTAGTAGCATTATTCCCTAAGGTTCTGAGTGGAATATAAGGCTTCAACAGGACTTCTCATTTTCATCCTGCTTTCTGCAGCTGTTTTTCTAGCTAGTGCATTGGTTATCCATAGGCTGTCATCTCCTGTGCCTATCCCATGATCTCCTCCGTATCAACCTTGAGCTTACGCCCAACTCGTCATTTCCCATTTGAGTTCCACTTGAACGATAGCCAGACGCGTGATTTAATTCAGTGGTCTCCTCAGGGCATGTTCGATTCATCTCCATCTTCATACAACACACATAAAAACAACTGGTTCATTTTCCTTCATACAGTTTTATTAATATCACGTTCTTCTGATGTATTAGATGGTTGGAGGTAATCGGCCACAGGAAGCCTTGGACCCAGGTTTCGTGCTAGTTGGTTTCTATCAACAAGATGTATCTGCAACATTGAAGGAACTCATGTCCCTTCTGAGATTCGAACCAGCGTCACCCAGTGCTGTGGTCAGTCAGAGACGCTACCACATGACAAACCTGACTGATAGAATTCAGTCTGCAGGGAAGAAAGGACTCGACACATCGCACTAGTTACTAGTGTTCAATCAGAAAATCAAGTTTTTCTGTCTTTCTTCAAGTTATCTAGCTGTGCACATGTCGGCTCTTAGTTCGGATGCCTCAACGATATTTTAGTATTAACCTGAAGTACGATTTCGTGGTTGGTGAGAAGCAGATGGCTAGTCCCAAAGAAAAAAAGGCGAAATACGCATTCAGGATCCCACCGCTAGCCATCCTTGACCGAATTCGTTCATGTACCTACATGTTCTTAAGAACTGTTCACTATGCTCAGATTTTCAGTCGAGAAAGAACATCGAAGATGCTTCTCCTTTCAGAAGTTCTCTGAATACCTTCAAAATAAGTACCTCATTTAAACAAACTCGTAATTGTATTCACTATGCATAAGTATTTAAATACTTTTAAATCTGTTCTAATGACAGTTTCCTGTCCATACCCTTTTTTCATTCCCTTACATTCCTATTGGAACATAGGGTGGTTTCAAGCTAAAGGCTTGAAGTCTCCATAGTAGTGTTGTTTATTTTTACTTTATGGGTTTGCTAGCCCGATGCTCAGCCTTTCCTCTTTACCAGTCTTATTACTGGTTTAGCTAGGTTTGAGAGTGTGTCGACAGGGGGTCGAATCCTGGACCACGTGAGCTGTGATTGGCGAGGATTCTACCGCTGTGCCACCGACGAACCCGCATACTTTTTTCTCAACACAATGTTATTATCTGCTCTTAGTTTCATGCATTCTTGTAAACTGACCTTTCCTGCATAACAATATTTCAATCTGAAAGTGTTTATACTCAATCCTGGTCAAATTTGGTACTATCGTAGTTAAAAATATCCTAACTACTACGAAATGAATGTTTTCTAAGTATTTTAAATTGGATACCACACTCCTGATCAAACCTGTTTATTTTTTCTTTAATATCTTTCCATTACAAATACAGTCCGAAACCTCCAAGTTTACAGTCAATTAGTCGAGTAACTGACACCGAAAGACTATCAAGTGTAAGTAGTATGAATGCTCCACCAGCAACTCCTAATGTTCCCCAACCCAACATAGGAGTGACTTCAGCACACTCTACCTATACCCCACCATCTCAATATTCATTATCTCAACCGTATACACAAACATATTCATCTCAACCAACGAATATTCAACAGAATATGCCCTCTCAAGCAACTCAGAAATATCCACCACCATCACCAATTACAAGTGCTGGTATGTCTTCTAATACAGGTTCACTTATTGGTGAGCCTATTGGATCAGTGAGTCCAGCATTAAATAAGTATTCGGATACTAGTTATACAACTGGTTATGGTTCATCTACCAGTTCATTGTCTTCAAGAGCTGATACACCTCAACAGACTGCATTTACTACGCCAACTTCAACTTCAGTTAGTCGAGCATTCAGTACTACTATGGAGAGTATGGATTCTGGATACCGTTCAAGTGGGGGTGGTGGTAGTGGTAGTGCTTCATCTAATTTACAAAATACCAATACTAATTATTCTTCTCAACCATGGAATCAAGGAACTTCATCAGGAATATTTAGTCCTTCTAAATTACCATCTATGGATTCAACTACAAAGCCTAATTTGACAAATCAATTCTCTACGGCATTTGATACACCAGAACGTACAACTTCAAGTAAATTTATGAGTTCACCTCAACAATCTTTTGGATCTTCAATAAGGTAAGCATTATTTTGCAATTAGCTTACATCTAAACTCATACATATCAATTCACTAAAGACGCCTTTTGAAAGTTTAACGTTTATATGACCATAGTAATTAAAGGAATCTTAATAATAATAATAATAATAATAATAATAATAATAATTTACTTCATTCCAAAAACAGTACTTGTGATACAGAATGGAATTTTCAGCATTAATCACAATATTGCATCTAATTTCCTAAATTTATAAATAAAATTAATCACATAGAAAATCTTCCACATTTACAATAGGGGTAATGTCAAAAACATGCAGCATATAAAATGGAAATATTAATAATAATAATAACAGCTAATGTAATAATAATAATACAAGTGAGAACTGCTGTGGGCTTGTTTCACACAGTATTGTCGATTCGGTATAGAAATCCTAGCATGTTCAAAAATATTGAATACAATGTTCTCTTTACATGATATGGTGAGGGGAAAAACAAAGATTACAGCAGTCACAGAGATAAGTTGGTGTTTGCAATTATGAGAGAAGTAACAAGACCATAAATATTATAGAAACAATAAAAGTAAAACTTGAAGGTATATAAGGATGGATGGAGGAAATTATTTATTTACTAGACGACAAAAGGTTAGTTAATTCTTTCTTGCCTTTCACACATCACATAAAATATGTGTTAAGCATGGTGTCATAGAATTTTTATACTTAGACGTGCGAGCATACAGTTTTCTGAAGTTACTTCTTGTTCTACTTGAGGAGATGTAAGGTGAAAGCTGAGGGTGAAGTGGATGCTCCAAGTCAGACAAAATCCCTTTAGCAAATTTATTGCACGAAGTCAAGTGCCTATCGACAATGATGTTAACTATGTGGTCCACAGGGACACCACTCACCCTACTGACAGTCTTCAGCATTCTACGAATTGTGACAATATTAATGCTGTTTTAAATTACATTGAGCCAATAGTTAGTACCTACAGATTCCATTCCAAAAACACCAATAAGAGAGAGAGAGAGAGTTAATATGCATTAATACATAACACTAAACCGATTGAATATCAGGTAATTTAAGGGAAGAAATACTACCGAATTTATGAATTTTCAGATTCGACAACGGGCCAAGATAGCACTAGTGGCTGAGCTAAGTTAAACTTTAAGCACCACTAACTACCAATGGAGTGTGACCGCACCAATGACCATAAAATGCTCACTGAGCAAGTTAGTGAAACCTAGTAAATAATGTTGTCATTATCAATAAAATATGCTCATAGAAGTGTTATGTTATTAAATGGGATATCTGGCAAATTTCAACTTAGGTTTGGGAAAGATTAAGTTAAGGATTAAGCCAAAGACAAGTTAGGATTAGGTTAACCTAATAAGGGCGACATTAGGGCTGGTTCGAGTTAAATTACAGATAGTTTAAGGACATTTTCACGTTAGGGTTAGGTTCAGGAAAGATTAGGGTTATTGTTAGGGTTAGAAGACCTAAATAATTACGTGAATAGAATGTGGTCAAATTACTCTGCTGATATAAGAATAGAACTTGTGCACTGTGGTGGTAGAGTATAATTCCATTATGGACAAAATATTTTTCTAATAAAGTCTCAGTGTTACACAGTGATATTTACTGATGACGTTTCGAGCACAATTCATTGCTCAGTAGATATTAGACTTTATCAAAATGAATTTTACCCACAATGGAATTATATTCTGTTGATAATCCAACCTAAAACTGAGAGCAATTTTTATCACATGTGAGAGGAAGGAATCCTCTGCAACACTTTTATACAGTTTTTATGCATTTTTTTCATATACATATATATATATATATACATATATATATATATATATATACATATATATATATATATATATATATATTCCATGCACAAAAATGCCTCCTTCACATGATTGGTGCTTTCAAGGTCACTCGCTGATTGGTAGTTAGTGGTAGTCAAAGTTTAACTTTAGCAGTGGCTGGCTGGACCTGTTTCTTTTGCACACACACACACACATCTCCAGTTGATTTAAGCGAAATGTTATGGCCTCCTGCTGTTTGGAGTATTTCGTATCTAGAGTCCGTTGTTAGTTTATTCAATAAAATACGCAACAGATGATAGAGAAAGACTCTTCAATGCTAACTAGTTTTGTGGCCCCTTTGTACAAAATGACTAAATATAGAACTGTTAATGGTTTCAACAACACATTTATTCAGCTCCACTGTTAGGTTGACGTAGCCGAATTTTAATGCGGTTAAACATGTATAAATAGGATGTGATATTTATTAACATAAGTTCACCACAAATTGTTTTATTTTGTGAGGTGACATTGGAACTTCGCATTCCCAACAGCTTTTCAGTCTAAGTAATAATAATAATTTGCTTTATTCCGAAACAGTACTTGTGATACAGAATGGAATTATCAGCATTTCATCACATACAGTATTGCATCCAGTTAATACATTAAAAATAAATAAAGTTCTACATAGATCATGGGTAATCTCAGTTAGCTATGACAGCAACTTATTGGCATGTCGGTAGCAAAGCCAAAATTGAACAGAATGTTTGAAGGTGGTAGAAAAGTAGAAGCTAGCATATTTACTGGCGTAAGCGGTAACAAAAAGATCGACATATACAGAGTGTGAAAGAACGAAGAAGAATGCTTCAAATAGAGTTTGCAAGGAAGAGAGAAACAAAGCAGCACATAACAGAGAAAAAAAGAGAGAGAGAAAAGGAAAAGAAAGAAAGAAAAACGTTGTAGCTATAAATGATATGAGTTAGAAAGACGAGATCCAGTTGTTCTACTGACCATGTAATAAGTTATAGGTATCACGCCTAATGCTTTCTTTATTGCACAGAACACTAGCTAGCTAAGTAGGGTATGGTTGAGTTGGGTTTTTGTACTTGCTAGTGCGAGCATATAGTTTTCTATATAGGCTTCTGGTTTTGCCTGATGAGATATGAGGGGAGAGTTGTGAATGTAGAAGGTAGTGAGATTTTAGATAGAATGGATTTAGCCCATTTTTCACATGAGTCCAAATGCCTGTTGACCAGAATATTACAAGCTGGTTAAGTTGCACGTTGATTACCCTGCTGACAACCTTTAATATCCTACGTAATAAGATATAGTCCTTCTTCAGTGACCCTGGAAAAACTAGGGGGGAACAGTAGAGAATAATAGGCAGGATGCAAAAGTTAACGAATTGTAGGAGTAAGGGTTGGATTATTCTCTTAGAAACTAGACAACCAGGAAAGATCAGCGGATAGAATGACGCCAAGATATTTAATTTCCGAGAGACAGATTTACATCTAACATAATCCGGTTGGTAACGAACACCTCATAGTTCTTATGCAATCAAGATGATCTTACTTACATGGACCCGACTAAATATTATGGCTGATTTAGTTACTGAATTATATGCATACTTTAAACTTTAGAAGATTCATGTGTAAGAGAATAAAGAATGCTGGAGTGTTTTGAAAATTTACAACCACTTATCGATGATATAACAAGCGGATGATGGTTTCATTTTATTGAAATTATATTATATATATAATAATATATAATTTTTCCTTCACGTTCCCCAGTGGAACATAGGGCTCCAAGCTAGTGGCTTAAAGTTTCTGTAGCAGTGTTTATTTTTACAGGATGGAGTTGCTAGCCTCATACCCAACCTTTCCTCTTTACCAGCATTATTTCTGGCTCAGTGAGGTAAAGGAGTGCGCCGGCCGGGGATCGAACCCCGGACCATATGCATGGTCGGCGAGCGTCCTAACCGCTATACCACCGACGCACCGATGGTTTCATTTTATTGAAATTATATTGGCAAAGTAATTTCACATGAATACATCACTTATGTGAAATTATCCAATTAGGAATTAACTTAATTTCTGCTTCGATAGAGAAAGACCAGGTTTTCAGTATAAAATGATATCATCATACTATTTCACAGGTTCTCATCAGCTGCTACAAAATACCTGAAATTACAATGGTTATAAATAATGACATTTCTTAATTCAATGTATGAAAGGTAATAGGGAGAACACTATAAGATGAACGCATCCAGAATATAAGTATTACAATTTTTAGTTTAAGTTACCATCAATTTATATTCTATCAAAAGGGGGGAGTGAGAGAAGACAGAAAACAGAAAAATCTAATAAACAGTGTTAGCTTGTACGTTAACATGGCAACTCAAGAAGGTCAACGTCCATCAAATTAAAAACTTGCTTAGTGAGCTGAGCTCACTAGTGTGTATGGTTAATCAGTGTAATGAAAGTAATACGGCCATCAGAGGAGTGAGAGATTGACTACACTCTCTTTCTGTGTGCATAAGTTCGGTCTGAAACGTTAGATTGCAACTGCTTTAGCAAATAGTAGTAGAATCGCTGTCCTTTGTGGGCTTAATATTATGAAGGATATGGAAATCTCGACAAAGTACCCCGTATCCACAAGGTGTCTGGTAATTGCACTTTGTAAATATCTGCTTCCTTTTAAGCATAAATTTCTTGGATCATGCTCTGAAAACCGGATAGGAACCCTTCTTTCTGTCCTTTCAATGTACTTGCTGCAGCAGGTGCATGTAAATTCGTAAATGCAGTTGGAGGTAACATCAGCAGGGTACTTATCCAGTTTCGATTGGCCTATAGAGCAAGTATGTAGTACTTTATGCTGTCATCAGCTTAGCTGCAGGAAGACATCTTTTCTTATTGCTACTTTCATCCTCTTGTCAATCTATTGTCATACTGCTTCTCCTTTGAATGAGAGGCAAATGAATGGTTTCTTCTTTTCAACTGTTGGCTGCTTCTTTTTCTCGTCTTTTTCTTTGCTACACTTTAGGATGAATTCCTTTGGATACCCACTTTCCCTAAAGCATTTTTCATAACAAAGCTTAATTCTTCTTCTACCTTGTTAGGCGAATATACCCTCCTGGTTCTGTCGTACAGTGTCCTTACTAATTTCTATCTTACCATTCCTTTCCAAAATGTATGAAAAAAGCAAAACCCGTCAACA